GTTATTGCAGCAACAGCTGCCGCTGCGAACGCACGTGCTGGTGCTGTTACTACGGGCCTGTCAGTGCACACGGATCAAGGTCTGCTAACCGCAGCCTTGCGACAGCCGCAAACAAGGAGCAGCGCCGCCATCACCCCTTTGTCTGTTGCTTCAAAGCCAAAAACAGCCACAGAAGAAGCAGCAGACGTCCGCCTCAAATGCCTGGAGCTGTAAGCTACGGTGGGCCGGCAGCGGCTGTGAGTTGGGCGATGGCGATGCTGTCCACACTTGGACAAAAATAGCAGCAGCACATGGCAACAGCAGCAAGTGGCAGCAAGAGCACGTGACAGCAGCACAAGACGACGATGAGTCATTGAAGCCTCGGAAGCTGCGGCTGCCTTCCTCTGCGTGCTGCGGCAAGCAACGGCAATTCCTGCTGAAGCTCCGCTGGAAGTGTCAATGCGATGAGACGAGATGGTTGAGGAGGGGCCACGCACACCTCCAGCAGCAAACCAGCAGCAGCAGAAACGGCAGCGAGCAGCAGCGGCAGACGTTGTGGCAGTGGCAGACGCTGCAGCGGAAGCAGGGGCAGCAACTAGGGAATCTTCATCAAAATCAAGTTGTGTGGCCAGAGGCTGCGAGTTGCAGCAGCAGCAGCACGGTGTTTTGACCGCCGGCGAATCTGGTGCTGCTGCTACAGTGCTGCAGTCACAGCCGCAATAAAGAGGGCAGCATATGCAGTAGCAGCATCTGAGGAGAGCGAAAGGTAAAGCAGGATTAATTTGCATTCAAAAGCATGCTTACCGTACGAGAAACCTGCTTACAGCTGTGCTCTAGGCTACAGCACCAGCAGCCAAAGCAGCAGCAGAAGACTCAACAGCAGCAGCCACACATATGAGACAGCAGAAGCAGAGACAGAAGAGGCAAATGTTCAGGGCTTCTGACTGCGCTACTTAAAGCTTGACTTGCGGGTGTACTTCAGTTATTCATTCACGAGCTGCCGCTGAAGGAGCAGTTAGAGCTAGCCAAACAGATGCAGTGCTAGTATGAAGCTGCAGTGCATCTTCGCGGCTCATTAAGGATCTAATTGGCCCGCGTGGGCTGGCTCCCTACTTTGCTACTTGGCGAGCGCAGATAGAATCCTACAAGAGCAGCATTTCGTCAATGAGAATCCACAATGTAGGATTTAGGGTGTGGGTTTGAGCTTTTAGTGTTTCGGCTAGAGGGTTCAGGGCTTCTTAGATTAGGGAATTTAGGTTTGGAAATGAGGGTTGCGTGGTTGCGTGTGCAGATTTGAGGGTTTTGGATCCCAAGTGCGATGTGGAAGTTCTGATTTAAGGGTTTGGGCTTAGACCTGAGAGTTTAGGGTGTAGATGAATCTTGGGCATTTAAATCTGAGGTTTAGGATTTGGAGTTGAAAGCTAGCGATTTCGTGCGCGTTTAGGGTTTAGGCTGATGGTTTAGTGTTTGCTTGAGGGTTTAAGCTCCAAGGCCTAAGGTTTATTTTCGAGGGCCTAGGGTTTACGGTGAAGGGTTAACGGCTCGCGGTCTAAGGTTTAGGTTTGAGTTCAGGAAACCATAGCGTGCCGTGGCAGAACGAGGGAAAGCCTTTTCCCGCTTTGCAAGAAAGAAGAGTTGATAAAAGAATAAGAGTAGTGATTGAAACAAGAGCTGTGTTGCCTCACCGTGTTTACAAGAGGGTGCTGGTAATGTAGCTTCCTTTTCTCGGCGAAAAAGGCAGCCCAGGAGACTTATGCAACAGGCAGCCGATCAACAACTAACCATAAACCCTAAACCCTGAACACTGGAGCAGTGGTTCCCCAGCATTTCTACAATGAAAGGCATCATCTTGTGGCCCTGTTTGCCATTGAACAATAAACCCTAAACCCTAAACCCTAAACCCTAAACTTTTGCGTCCGCTCTCGCTCATCGTGTGTTTTAGAGGTTGCTGGTGGTACGGTTTCGGCAAAAGGCAACTGAGCTGCCTCACGCCTTTTCACGGCTTATATCTGTACAATAAAGACTAATAAGTGAATAAATGAATTTTAAAAATTTATTTATTGGTATTTACTCTGAAAAAAAAGAGCTTTTGTACGCCGGGTCACTGCTAGAGCTAGGGCCCGCTGGTCACCCCTGAAAAACCCATTGTTACGTTGGTGTGCGCTGTTGAAAACAGCGCAGCCTCATTGTTCAGCAGCATTTCCACAAGTTGCTCAACAACATGTGCTTTATTTATGTCTTATAAAACGAGTTTTTTTGCGACGCTTTTTGTCCCGTTTGCTGCCGCAAATCTTAGTGTTGCAAGCGTTGCGAGCCCGCTGCAGATCCTCAGACAAGACGACTCTGGCTCGCGCAGTATTCTTTCTGTGCTTCAGCTGCAGCTGCAGCAGGGAATCTGCGCCTTTTTCTCTTCGCGGCATTTCACCCGTCATGATTTCGAAAAGCCAAGGGGTGGCAAATTGTGCAGCTCCGCAGCTGCCAGGAGATTTCCTCAGTCCATGCTGCCAGATTCAGCAAGTGGGCGCAACAGATGACTCTTTATGGCCCACTGTCGTGAAATTATGGCGTCGGCACAAACCTTTCTAAAAGTCTCAGAGGTATTGCAGTTCCCAGTCCGAAATCGGATAAGTGCGGAGCCCGTCCCAGGCCCGGTAGCAGGACTGCTAGGCCTGGGTGCCCTTCTCCAAGATTTCACTACAGACTACTTCGGTGCAATTTCAACCTTCGAGGGGCTAGGGTCAAGCCCTGAGGCCATTAGCATCGGCTAATTACCCGAGGCAATTGGCTTTGCTCAATTCAAATGAAAACTCACTGAAACTAGGATGCAAATATTCACGCTTCACGATGGCAGCCGCGTGTTTTCATTCAGCGTAATTGCGTGTATTAGCCCGTCGTCAACTTGGAGACGTAGTCATGAATGTGGCAAGTTGGAAACGGAAACGATAGATTGAAGTGGTTTCAACAAAGCACTGTTGTCAGTGAAGTGGGCTTGGGGCATCGCTGAGATTGACTGGATGAGATTGACTGGAAGAAGAATGTGAGGCGCTTTAAATCAACATAGGGCCAACGAAAGCAAAATCTACTCCTGTATTTTAATAATCACAAATGCGTAACTAGTTTTAATCGACGAAGAGGGCAAGCTAGAGGTCTAAATTTCAATTATCTGCCATTGAAAACCGTGGTGTACCACATCAGGTCCTCCATCGCCACCGGAATCAGCATGTATCTCACTTGTAGAAGAGAAGCTATTCCTGCAGCAGTCAAGCTCTAGTCCTTCACAATATTTATGGAAGATGCAGCATCTGTGAGCGGGTGCAATTATTGCACGCAGTTCGCTGACCATTGCCCTAGAGGAGGGCGGCAGAGCTTATACAGGCTTTATACTAATGGATTGGTGGTTTCTGCTCCACCTCACTATTCTAGTCGGCGATGGGTTTTCCTCGGCTCTATTTTAGGTCTTGTGAAACATGCCCAACTAATAATTAGGCCGAATACGCCAGGGGCTCCGGCTGCTTTTGCCCTGGGTACGCCTACAGTCGCCAGACAGGCCAAATCTCATGAAGATTGTGCAGATTCGCCAACTGCATACTACATCTTCTTTGCACCTCCAGCTCTACTGAAGGGGCTATGCCTTTTTCTAAACAACTACTAAACACTCAGTGGAAACAAGAACAGCGCGAGTCGCTCGACTTTGGGGACTGCCACATTTTTGGCGTTGAGACTGCGGCGGGAGAATGAAGGGAAAGTAGAAACGCTTCAAGGCTGGGCTGTGATGTTTGAAAGGAAGCAGGAAGACAAAACAGAAGTGGATGTTCTGAACTCTCAGCTAGCGTAAGCAGCTCCTTTTTCAAGTTTATGTAAAGATGTCATGCGCACAAGCTCCAAACATTGAAAAATATGCTGAGAAACGTCGGGAAAATATCAGTGAAGATATGGCAAAGGCCACAGGGGAATTTCGAGTGCTGGAAGCAAAAGCTTCGGGCTTCCATGCACGCTAGGACCATAGTAGAAAGAGTAATACCGAGATTATAAGCCAAAGTAATACCGAGATTATAAGCCAACTTAAAGGGAGGGATAGGCCACGCAGCTGGCATTTATGAAAGTATGTAGGAGCTTTATGGGTCAAAGTGAGTATTGGAGGAGACGAGGCGCTAAAGAGGCAGACTGAAAAGTGCTGGAAGGAGAACGACCTAGTGTAGGCCACCCAGCGGCGCTTGTTGGTGTACGGCCCCCCGGCTGAAGAGGACTTACAAGAAGCATTAATGAGTTAAAACCATCCTTTTATGCAGAAACACACCAGAGGGTACAATGCAGCAGATACGCCTGCTGCAGTTGCTCGTTTTCAAGGAAAGAATAACGTGGCTACGCAGCCGCACACAGACACTGAAAACACCCAATAAGAGTTCCTCTGTTTCACAGATTACCCACTCTCATGCGTCGTTTTGTAGTGTGGATTGGCTGGAGCTCTAGAAAAAATGCTTCAGAAATCACCCATGCGAGCGATATTTCTACGGACGTATTGTAAGGCATACTTGGAATCATTCTGCGGCAACATATCATGCGACGCGGCGTAAACACACTAAAAGATTCAACAGTAAGGCAGCAGATCACGAGTAAAATATTCCTCAGTGCTGTAGATTCGTCCAGTGTGAGCTACCCTCAAAGAGATGCGTGAAGGGAGATATGCAGGTGGAGGCTTCCAAAAGTGTCCCGCTAGTGGAACTACGCGAAGACACCGCGCCAAAAAGAGGACAGTGCTAGTTTTAGCATAGACGCGTATCATGAGTTAGGCCACTGGCTTGCTACGGCAGCTGATTAGTCTAGCACAGCAATGCTCTTGGAAATGCCACGAGAATGCGCTAGTGTGTTACCGCATTCTTGCTTGTGCGACCAACCGCATTTCTACGAGTCTGAAGCAGCACAAAACAGAAAAAAACGTACATGCTAACAGGATGTAAGGTAAAGAACAAGACAAAATACTCCAGAATATCATACAAATCCATCTCTAACTTTCGAAAAACATGGTTTGCAAAACCTGTCACCAGCAGTGGAACCAGTGCCGACACAGCATAGTGGCGGACCTTCTGTCCCAGCAGCAAAGTAGATCTTTCTGCTTCTCTGAGTTACTTCTTCCTTCTTTAAATCGTCAAGTTTACTTCAAAAAAATCATTCTCATTTGTTCCTCAATATCCATGTTATGGGGTCTCTTGTTGCCCAGGATGTACCGCCCCCTGCTACGTTTCTTCATTGCTTCTTTGCCCGTGTGGTTGGCAACGCATGGTGCCAATGAAGGAGAATGCGCCAGCATCGTTGTGACTACGGAATTGCCTTCAGAATTTGAAACACTTACCAATACAGGCTTCTCTGTCCCTGTTCAAAGAGGTCGGCGAACAGCACTACGCTTGTGGACGCTGTTCGTCGTGGCGGCCGCTCTCGCTGTGACATTTTTAGTGATGAAGTGCTTCAATGGTCTCCGAGCAGGAAAAAAAGCAGAGTATGGCACGCGAAGACTTGCAGAAGCTCCTGACGACTCTTGTTTTGTAAGCGCTGCTGAAAAACGTAGTCTGAAAATGAGCTGTAGCCTTTGGGCACCTCACGGTTGTCCCTCAACTCTGAAATATGATGTTTCACAAGTGTGGTGCTGACACCAAATGTTCTCAGTTCGCATTGTGGTAGTTTTCTAGAGTGCTTCGTGACGTTGGTCACGTGTTTTATGTCGGTACCGTGTTCCCTACCGCACCAAGCGCGCGAAGATCTCTTGAGTGACTGGTAGGGCGAGACGTTTCAGAGCACTAGCCACAGCTGGTGCCAAGGCTACAGGGAGCTGTGCAATCTAAAAACAGAAGCCAGCTGCAAAGCTCGAGCGCTGCGTGTTCGGTTGGCCAGCGACAGCGATATGAATAACTCAATAAGCTGCCTGCTGATACGTACACCTGCCTATGTGCGCAAAGCAAAGCTTACCTTAGTGTCACTTGCATTGCTGCATCGTCGCTATGCAGCACACTGTCAAGACGGCTTGCTTGGTTGGGTGAGCTATTCAAAAGCATGCCCTTTGATCACCCTTTGCGGTGTTTACACGGCTCCAAAGCTTAATCTGGTCGAAACTTTGCAGGGCAGGCAAAACGCGAACTGTTATGGCATCCACGGGGTGCATTTTACTCTCTTTGGATGGCGAAAATGGGAAATATGAAGGTGCACTGCTTGTTCCGGGTGACTGGCAGCGGGAAACCAGAATAAGATAGATGATATATTATCAAAGGCGCGACTGCTACATGCAACAAATACATGTTCCGCAATGCCGCATGACTATAAAGCTCAAGCAGCAGGATGAAAAGTGGGGAAATGATTTGCAGTAGAGCATCAGGCAGCTGACAGTCCTTTAATTCCAGGCTAGGCGCAATTTATGTAGGAAATGCGAAAACCTGTTCAAAATACCTGCAAAGCCATCGCAAGTGCGCGAAAGAGTATTTGTCTGGAGGCACACAGCGAGCATCGACGCAACTGCTCAGGCAAAGATGTGCGACGGGCTATCACGCAAAGTTGCATATCTCGTGTTGATGAATTCACGACACGAATACATTTTGGGTCCCCAGTGTAGCCATATGTGGCAGCTACAATTGAGCCGGTGGGAAAGCTGTATGCTGTTATCCCATTGCCATCCACCTTCGTGCGTTGTCCTTGACACCGCCACGCTACTCACATTATGCTGCGTGTGGCTTAGCGAGATTTGACAAACAGCTTGTAGGCCTTTGCAATCGCTTGCCAACGAAGTAGCGTGGCCAGCCAAAGCGCACGTATGCAGGCAGGGTGACTTGGCGCTTAGCCCTTACTGCAAGAAACTCTGCACAACTTTTCGCGCATAGCTGACCACTGCAGCTTGATCGAGCATCTGTAGAGTTGTGCACCAGTCACTGAAACGCAGCATAAATAGTGAAACCGTACTGGTCAGAAATTGCTATCTACGCTGCGTGTATGCTGAAGTTGAGTAAGGTGAGTTGAGAGCACTGCGAAGAAAAGAATGAAAAACTGCATGGGATGGAGTGTCGAGAATGGTAGCATTAATGCTTGGAATTTGATGCCTGCAAACGGGTACGGAATCAGTCGCAGTTGATAATGATGGACGCAATTGGCCCACATTAACGCGGAAATCCGGCAGCTGATGAGGGAATTAAAGCGTTTGCATGTTTTGTTTTGTGGCATCGGTGCGTGTTCGCCAGAGGCGTTAAAATTGTGAAAACTTCGAGCGTGCATTGCGCAGTTTGTGCTTGTTGGATTGTCTCGAAGTATGCTGGAAGTGATAAAAGAACGGAAGATCATGATCGGGGCATCTAACTGCCTGAGACTGCTTTGTCTGTGGGATTTGCATGCGTAGAGGCTGAAGTAGCTTGTCGAAAAGTTGTTTGAGGGTTGTGAGAGCGCGTAGTTTGCATAGAGTCGGGAGAGTTGACCGTGTATAAATGCATGACAAGTTCCGACGCATTTTTGCAAAGAAGTCTTGCGAGATGCCTCCGCACAAAGTTGCTTTTGCCTCGCGCCAGAATTGCCTGGCAGAGCAACAGATGCGTTACTCTTGCGCTTGTACGCTAGAGATTTAATTTGCGACTGTTTCGCAGTGCTCTTTTCGCGCCTGCAAGAGTGTTGTATTGGGGCGTACGCATGCTGCTATCAGGCTATCCTCCTTTCGGGTGTGTCTTTGACCGCCGCGTCGAGCGCAGAAAGCTGAATATGTTTTGGCGTGATTCACAAGATGCGTGACGGTCTCGAGGCATGCGTGGCAGTGCGCTGGCGCGCAACGATACAGGGCGGATCTTCGCAGGCACTAGGCTGTGTTGCATGGCGCTTGCTGCAGTTAACGTTGGAGAAGCTTAGTGGAATTCCATGACTTTATTCAAGACTGCTTGTTACTGTTGGTAGAAACTCACTCATCTAGAATCTGCATGTGTAGTTCTGTTTGACGTCAATCGAGTTGTCCAACATTTACTTGCATGCAGCATCAGCAGTGAAAACGCACTTGGCACAAGTGATTCTAGGTGTGTGCTTGCTCTGGGGAAAATAGGATGTGCATTGCTGTCCAGGCGCTGCTGCAAATGAAGGGGCGGGACATTGTGCAGGATTGAGGTGTCTTTGGCAATTGCTTAAATGCCTGGCGTTCAGTAGCTGTAGCCTGTTGCGGAATCGGTCAGAGCCGGTTGTAGCACTCATAAAATACGTAGGCGCTTGTGGACCACTAAGAACGAGATCGAAGAGCTGGCGCGGAAATGAGAACGCACGAGATTGAATAGATGGTGCGGGCGTGAGAGCGTTTCTCTTTTGCCGTTCATTACTCAAGTACAGACTCGCTTTTCAATGTTTAATGACCTGCATCGCAACCATAGAAGCGCCAAGGATGTAATTAGCGTTCTCAGAGCCACGGTATGTTTGTGCGTATATTGGCAATGACGTACGGTTATGAGTTTCCGGTGGGGTCTGCTGCGTGTACAGGCGCAGCGGTTGGAGTATATTGTCGAGGGCTTTGTCAGTATCGGTGAGATCGCTTGGGATTCTTGTTCGATAGTAGAGAGTTACGTAAAGTGCATGGCTGATTTCGACGCAGTTGAGCGGAAAAATCTTGCAAGCATCTTTCTTGCGACATTGCTTTTGCAGCTTAGGCAGAAGTGACTGGCTGCATGTAAAATACACATATGCTGCATTTGTGATGCACAGTTTCGCTACGCAGTTTAAGTCAAGTTTAGTTTGGGCAGTCAGCAAAATAAGCAATTGAAATCCGAGCACGCAATTTTCCTGATGCCAACACGTCAGATTTGTGTTAGGAGATTCAACTTTGGCCGCATGATCCTGCTTGATCTTCGGCGTGCCTTCGACGCAATAAAAAGCCCCCTGCACTTGCAAAGGAGTGACGTAGGATATCGAGATGGACGCCTCTTACGGAGGCTAACTAATGCGCCACATACTCAGTGAACCCTGCAGCAAATATTCGTTGTATTCGGTCAGTAAGCAACACTTTGCCGGCAGCTTACGGCTGCAGCTTGGTAGGGCGTTTGTAGAGTTATGCAGAAGTGATTCATAGGCAGTGTCAGGCGTGACGTGCTATTGGCCAGCAGTGGCTGTCGGTGTGCTGCGTGCATGGGGAAACAAAGAGTGCGTTGAGAGTCTGCAGGGTTTGGATATAAACGGAGAAGAAACTGTAGAATTTCATTTCCATGTTTTGTATCTCTGTAACACGGTGTTCGGCATATGCAGGGTGTTGTGGAATCGGTCACAGGCGATTGTAAAAAGAGGAATAGTGTTGACCGCTGGTTCGAAGGGAGATCGGAAAAGGAATGCGGGCAGCAGAGCAATTGGCGCTTTTGTTTTGACTGCAATTGGAGCGCACAGAAACGGCGAATGCGTTTGCCATGCACCTTGCATTTCTTACGTTTCAATTGGTTTTTCTGCATGCTGGCAGCGAACGCCAATACTGGGGCTGAAGCGGATCTACTGGCTTCCTGAGTTGAGAGTGCAGACGCAGTGGGTGGAGTAAACCGTGCAAAGGGTATTTGGGAGTGATGGGACTGTTCACCGGGCTCGCAGGAGGGCGACAGGCAAGACGACGTTCACGACAATATTCGAGGCATCTATGCAGCGACGTCTGCGAAGTGGCTCCTCCAGAGGTTGCGTGTTTGTCGCGCAGATGGGTTTATGTGTGGCTGTGAAGCCTGCCTGCGAATCTTGCGGCCTTTTAACTTTTAGTTCAATGCTTGGCTCCAGCGCATTGCCGTTTTAGTAACAAGGAGAATCCGTTATTGAGATATTTGTGTTCTATCACCCTGTCATCCAGATTTCATACGTGTCTTTGACTCCGCCAGGCCGAACGCATGATGCTGGTTTTGGGTTGGCGTGTTTCACGAGCCGGTTGATGGCCTTTGGAGCTGCACAGCAGTGAGGTGGAGCGCATCCAGACACAGGAAATCACTGCAGGCATGATGCGTTTCCTGTAGGTGGCTTTGTAGAAATTGGTAGGCGTTTCATGGCAATCTGCAAACGTTGTTGGTTGCACTTTGTGAGTCGATACTGATTCATCTAGAATTTACGAGTGTAGTTCTACCTGGCATCAGTAGAGCTGGGCAGCATTCAAGTGCATTCATGCATTGGAAGCAGTGAAGATGTATTAGTGAGAAGTGAATCTAGGTGGGTTGCTTGCGTGAGGGAAAACAGGACGTGCGTAAATGGCCTAGAGGTGCTGCAAGCGAAAGGGCGAGATATTGTGTTGGATTGAGGCATCACTGGTTGTCAGTTTAAAGCCTGGCGTCCATTGACTGTGGCGTGTTGTGGAGCCGCTCATAGTCAGGCGTATAAGACAAGAATTACGAAGACACTTAGCTCCAGCTGGGAGCCATATCCGACCGGCGGTGTTGACAGACATTGACAGACATTGAGTGCCGCTTCAGTGCAAGGTGTTCCAAATATTTGTTTTTTTTAGTCAGTAAGCATTACTTTGCCGGCAGTTTACGGCTGCAGCTTGGTAGGGCGTTTGTAGAGTTGTGCAGAAGTGATTCATAGGCAGTGTCAGGGGTGACGTGCTATTGGCCAGCAGTGGCTGTCGGTGTGCTGCGTGCATGGGGAAACAAAGAGTACCTAAAGAGTCTAAAAAGTATGGTGATGGCTG